CTCTTGACAAAACAGCCCATGATGAGGGTTGTGGCTCATTCTTTTAGCCAATTTACTATCCAGGTGATAAGTTTGTCTCCTCTCAAAATTTGAAGTGTCTAGCTTAGAGGTAAACATACCAGGCTTCACTGGTGACTCCCAGCACATTGGGCCCTCACCATGCCAACAGGTTATCTGTAAAGGAGTTCTCTCAGCTGGTCCCTATTACAATAGCTGTATGGAGCACTGAAGTGCTTCAGCCAGGTTACCTGGGGCAGTGCTGGCAGGATTATACAGACTGAGGCACAATGTTGAAGTCTGGGCATGGCCTCCTCCTTCAGACACACCCAGGCCTTGGCATTCCTCCCCTCGGCCCCCCTCAAAGTGTTTGAGTTGCTGCCAGGGGCTAGAATTGGCTTCCCTAAGGCAGCAAGGAGTAGAAATGGCCCACCAGTACCCAAAGATGGTACTGGATCACATGACAAATGCATAGGAGCTTAATAAAAAAGCTTTCCTGACCACATCATCCCTCAGGGACTCTGGGGCCAATCCATGTAATCCCAGTAATGACAGTAGCAACAACCAGCAGTTGTGTCCTTCTCTACACCTTGCAGTGATTTTCATGGGTATGAAAAAAAGTGAGATCCAGAGAATTTTCATCTCTGGCAATGGTTTAAGTACCACATGGCCAATATTTGTATTCTTCCTTCTCTGAGTTCAGGCAAAATAAGCAATGGCTACCTTGTGCCATAGTGAGTCCTCCCTTAAGCTAGAAGAGAGTAGATAACCTAAGATAGTGCTGAACATAGAGGTTAGATGATAGCACACCTAAGGCTCTATTAATGTATTCCTTTAAAGGAAAAACAGCATTTGTATTTTATAAGGAAGAATATTTTCTTTTATTCTAATATCTGCCTGGTGATGAGACATACACAAACCATTTTGGCTATTGTGAGGACTTGATCAAGGAAGAGTGAACACTCTGTCAGAAATATAATTTCTTTCCATACTCTTAACTCTCGATAAGACTCCAGGTCTGTTTTCTTTTGCTTTCAATAGAGCTTATTTCTAGACATTATTTTTTTTCCAGAAGCTTTCATCTGCATGCTGCTCTTTAATTCATTTCTACCTCCTGCTTCATTCTAATAGCATCCCAGGATTGGAAATAAATAATTGTATGTTGGCCACACTACCTCTCTCCTCAGTGGTTACCTACTGCCTCATAGACCCCTTTCACTCAACAACTGCTTTGGCGGTATCCACTTTCACCCTGGTGACATTCTGGCCTCACAAATCATTGGCCACTCATTCCTCCATTCTTCCCTTTGTTTTATTCATGGGTGCCATCTTGCCTCACACCTCATGTCACTATTCAGTAGACATTTGGGGGTTGCCTTTGCTCTAAACCCCAGTTCTTGAATGTTCTTCTGTGACATGGGTTCCCATCCTCCCACTTTCCTTCCCTCTCATTCAGTGATCCTGCCCTTGACTTTCTCATTGCCTCTGTTCTTGGTGTCCTTCTCTTCCCCGCTGCCTGGCTTCTCTTGGTTCACTTGTTTTTTAAATCTAACTTGACACTCCTGTGGTGTTTCCATGCCATTTTGATTCGCTGTATCTGCCTATGAGGCTCCAATCTTGGGAGCCCCCGCAAGGACATGATGATTTTCTTTCCACCCTGGATTCCTGTCTTATTCTGTATATTTTAGGTCCTTGAGAAATAAATTGAATTTGCTGGTAGTTTACACTTCTGGAAGAACAACCCTTAGATGAATAATTCTCTCTTCATCTCTGCCATCAAAAGCCTTGTTCCTTTGTTTGGTTTAAGAGGAGTTACATTTGCTTCTTATTTTGCTGTCAAAATCATTCCTGTTTCTCTTAAATTAGCTTCTATTGCTGAGGTTTTCTGTAAATCTTCTATTGCATTGGTTTTTCTGTAAATCTATCCCACTGCAGGCATCCCAACCCCGTGCCTGGTTTTTGTCCTGTACCGGCTTTTCTCTTTGGCTGCTCTTAGTATTCTCAACCACACTGACAGTTTTCTTTTTTGACTGTGCTTATCTCATCCATGGGCCTTGTGTTTATTCTTATACTAATCAGAACAATTAGACATATTGTATTCTCTCTTTGTGCTTTCCCTCTGTTGCTTTGAATTACAGCAATGATTAGCACTGTTAGTGTTTTCCTCAAGGAGCAGAGTATAGATGAGCCATCCAAGCCAGTCATCGCTAATGGGAGATATGATGAATATAATGTCCTTATGGACACTTTCCCCTGTAGATATGCATAAGTTCACAAGTTACTCTGCTAAGGTTCCCGCTTATTAAAATTTTCTTTATTGTTTTTCTCACACATGAAGCAAAATGGTTCTTGGGCTATTGTTTGCATAAGGCTGAGGTGAAGCATAGCTTTGCATCATTTAGAAAGGTAGCACTAAACAATATTTGCATGCCTTTTGTGGACATAGTTCTGTATCAGGTGATCCAAAATGATTGTGGAGGAAGGTCCAGTCCTTACATAAGCAAACCCTTCTCACACGAGAAGATTTAAGATTATTCAAAAAGCTGTTACTGACAGCTTTTCTTTTGATACCAGAACATTTGGTTAATACCTGTTCCCCAAAAGAATCCTGCAGAATATTGTGTGTCTGTCTCTCACATACATCTCTAAGCTCCCAGGGGGTAGGACCATGTTTTCTGCATGTTTAATGTTCAGTACCTACAGAACTTGAACATATTTTGTACTTAATAGATATTTGTATAATTAAAAATCATGAAGTGCAAATTAGCGTAGTGCTGAATGTTAGAGAAAAGAAGGCATTCATGATAGTCACTTTCCTAAAAGTGAGTTTCAAGTTGGGTTTTGAAGATAATAAAGACACATGCAGAAAGAGGAGGGGGAAAAATGTGCCAGAATTTTCTAGATTGAAAGACTTAATTTCTAAAGATTAAGGGTAAAGAAATTCCACTCCTCCCTGCCTCCTTTATAAGTTTTTCTAGAATCATTGATGGCATTTGTCAGAACCTTAGAAGCCAACAAATTATGCCAGGTATGGGGCACATGCCATAATTCCAGCGACTCAGGAGGCTAAGGCAGGAGGATTGCAAGTTTGAGGCCAGCCTTGGCAATTTAGTAAGACCCTAAGCAACTTAGAAAGACCTTGTCTCAAAATAAAAATGACTTGGGTATGGCTCAATGGGAAGCACCCCTGGGTTCAATCCTCAGTATCATAAAAACCCCACCAAATCCTGCCATTACCACTTCTGTTTGTAGATCCCTTCTTTGGGGACTGATGCTAGATTGTTTAGGGGGTAATGTAACAAGGACAGGACCATATTGTTTTCTAGATTTATTGTCATTTTTTCTAGAAAAATAAGCATTCTCTCATTTAGAAGTTTTTTGAACTCTTGTTCTGGGTAAATCTGAAATTGTTGCTCCAACTGTAATTTGTTTTGAGTATTGGTTAGGACTACAATTCACAGTGTGTCACAAAGGATTAATCTCTAACATCTGCATGCTTTTCTAAGGCGTTAATTTATCTTTGTAACATACCTCTGGGAGAGGGGAAGATGATCATGATTTACTTCTAGAAGACATCTTGTCCAAGTATTCAAATATTGGACTGCTGGAGATTATAGATCTCAGAAAGAATCTTCATTGATTCTTATTTATTATATGGAATATTGTGTGAAGGACTGAGGGTGTATTGGTGAAACAAATCAGATGTATAACTCACTTTGCTGGAATTCTGATCTAGCGAAGTGCAAATGTACCATATATAAGCCCTGGTACACTTGGAGCCTACAACTGATGCTTGAGCCCTCCTGGTCTCTTCCTCAACACATCAGTCCATGGGCCCTGAGCATGATGTCCTCTCTCTTTCTTGATTAATTATCTTCTTGCTTCACATGTAACTTTAAAAGTGACTGTGCTGCCAGTTTTTTTGTTTGTTTGTTTGTTTTTTTGGAAAGCCTTCATTTGTTTTGGGCTTCAGCTAGAAGTTGTTGATCACAAGTCTGAGTGAGGCTTGGGTTTTAACTCAAGAACTCTGGACTTGACAGTTGGGTGTGTATTATACACATACTGTGGAGGAAGAAATGCCCAAGGGAGGAAGTTTATAGTTGGCCAGGTGAGTCCTGGATTGGGTGTTAGAAGTAGAATTGAACCCAGAGCACCCAGTGGATGAATGCAAAATATATTAAAATGAATTGGTTTCTATCCAATTGAAAAGGGAAAAAACTATAAGTAGCTTTGTGTGCTGAGTTTAAGTGCTTAGGAGAACCATGGGGCCATTAGGTTTAGGATGGAAGCTTGAAGAAGCTTAGGGTTTTTCCAGTCTTGCTCCTGGTCCTCTATCTAGCACCTGGCTCAGTAGTGCCTGATGTAGTAGGTGCTCAAGAAACATTCAATGAATGAAAGAAGATAATAGAAATTATTCCAAGGAAAGCAGGTTTGATCTGGAAGAATGACTAGGTTTATTTATTCATTTAGTAAGCAAATGTTGAGTTCTGTAAGGGGAATAAAGGGCTTTTCATGGTGACAACTGTGCTCCACCAACATCAAAAGGAGAAGGTGAAGGAGAGCAGCATGTTAATGAGTTTGTATGAAGTGTGATTTTTTTCTTATGCTTGGCTTACTGTTGCAAAGCCCTTTTTAATTCTGACAAGCTTTGTGACAAGTTATCCAAAAGAGGACATTTTTGCACAAGATATTTTCTAAGCTTCCTTTGCAGTTAATAAAATACTTTTATTTCAGTAAACTTAAAAAGAAGCCCATACATCTCCTCCCATCTATAAGAAAAAAATTTTAAAAATACTTCATGATTCAGGGTATCTAAAAGCAACATTGGGCTTTGAGTCCCTACTGGAAGCTCTACTCTGACTTTGGGGTTGTGCTGACTTAATAACCATTGTTACATTGATATCAGCGTCAAGGAGAGGGCTTCTGTTCTCCCATGAAAGGATGGTAGACTTCTCTGGAGCATGCTTGCCCCCATTTCTCACTCTTCCCTGCCTCGTTTCTAGGACTGCATCGATGTTGGCTGGTGGGAAGGAGAGCTCAATGGCAGACGAGGCGTGTTCCCTGATAACTTCGTGAAGTTACTTCCACCGGACTTTGACAAGGAGGGGAATGTAAGTCTCCATGGCTTTGATCTCAGTGCACCATACACTGTCAGAATTGTGGCTTCCTGTCGTGGGACTTGGGATATAGGATTGAGACCGTTTGGTATAATGTTAAACAGCACTGGCATTTGAATGTTTGATGGGCTTGGGTTCTAAGCCCTTGGCTGCCTATACCTATAACAAGTCCATTTTAGAACTCAGCTACTACCTTGGTGATAGTGATCCCAATTCCATAGTTTCATGTATAAATAGGATAATGTGTGTAAGGCACTTAGCACAGTACCTGGCACATTTGAGTGCCCAAATAAACTGTGAGGACCGTGGGTGCTCGGTTTGGTAAGTGTACTGCCTGCATCCTGCATAGTACGGTCCTTGAGGGTAGTGAAGTAACCAATATTATGCAAATGGCTGACACATTATGAAGCTAAGGATACAGAGCAAGACCTACAAATCTTCCTATACTGTATATGCATGTTTGTGTACACATATCCATATGTGTGCATACACACCTCTCATTTATGTTTTTCTTTGTGGGAACCCATTTGATGATGCTGCTGTCCAAACAAGCCAGTCCATTTTTGTTGCCTTATTCCACATGTTGTTTTTCTCTTCCAATGATGTAACAAGAAATGTTGAAAAGCTAGAAGCACCCTACAGTACATGGAGGAATGGCAATTTGGTCTTATCGATCCTGTTCTATACCTCAGGGTTCTTTGCTCAGGCTTTTATGTGACCTCTGCCCACCTCTCCTGGCTAGAATCCTCTTCATGCCCATGGGGGCTCTGTTACTGAACCAGGCTGAACCTGACTTTGACATATCACCATTCTAGTAGAGCTGAGGTGAGGTACAGTAAGGTTAGCTACAATATTGGTAAATTGGTTGCCAAGGATACTAAACTATCATTTCATGGTGAAAGTGCTACTTAGATGAATGGACATAATTGTTTAAGAAGTGAGATAGTGCTGGCATCTGCCAAGATTGTACCCTATAGATCATTAAATGGGTTTGAAGTCCAAAGCCTAAAGGCTTTTCAATAGCTTGCTTTCTTGTATTGTTTGGGTGAAGAGTGTTCTGTTCTACACTTGCTATTCTCTCTTGGAATCTGAGTTTGGGTTCTGCATAATATGGATTCAGCTTCCTAATGTTTTCTAAGTCCTTGACACTTGAAGTCAAATTCATGGACCAGCAACATCAGCATTACCTGGGAGCTTGTTAGAGCTGCTCAAGCCCTATCTTAGGTCTGATGCATTAGAATCAACATTTTTCACAAAATTCTTAGGTGATCTGTTTGCATATTACATTTTGGGAAATGTAGGTATAGAAGCAGATATCTAAGTGATGACAATCCCACCTTCCACTTTTCCCCATATTTTAGGAGAGAATTCATACATCAAAGAACTCATCATTCAGTAAGGAAATTGTCCACCAGGCAAAATCGCTTGAAACATTTTTACTAATGACTAGCAATGTTGGATTGTCACTTGACAGAAAAATTGATTACTGAGAAAAACAGATCCTAAACACTTATAATGACTGGATATGATATGTTTTAGGATAACAGGACCCCAAAATGAGATTTAGAAAATATTTATAGAGTATAGTGGTTATGACTCTAGGCTATGCCATCAGATAGACCTGAGTTCAAATCCGTCCCCTGCCACTTATTTGTTCTATAGCCATGGCCAAGTTGCTGAACAGCTCTAAGCCTCACTATTTTCATCCATAAAATAATGGGAATATTCATACTTACCTTATTGAATAGTTGAGAAGACTGAGTGAGATGATGTATATGAATTCCTCAGCACAGTGTCTGGCTGTTGGTTAATGCACCCTGCAGATTAAGCATTCCAGTCACATACTTACTATTGCCACAAGAGTGGCAAAAGACTCCAACCAGAATTGTGAAGTAATGTTATAAGGCCGATTCTGGGACTCTGGTTCTTTTTGCATCAGCTGATCAAATCAGGCCTGTTAACTTGGTATCTTGCTTACCTTCCCTGGGAATCTAGCTACATCTAAAACTTTACTCAACAGCCATTAAAAAAGACAGCCAGTGAGGTATAAAACACACTTATAGAGATAAGCAAGAACAGGGTGACATAATCTTCATGTTACTTCGCATATATTTTCTGGATCTGCTGCTTTACAATTCTGTTTTCATTTTGTTCAACATTTAACAAGTCCTTTCCTGGGCTGGCTATCATGGCGGTTGATTGGAAGTAAAGCATACTCATGACTGCTGCTCGATTGGGCTTAGTTTGGCTGCAAATCTGGTATTGAAAGACATGGGTGCCTGCCAGAGCTTTCTGAAAGGATACTCATGGTAGCCAGAATGAGTGGAGGCCAGGGACCATCTAGGCTGCCTGTTATCTCCTTCTTGCCTATGTTTGTGAGGCTACTAAAAGCCAGCTATGTCCTAAAGCACTGGGATACCAAAACCTTCATATAACTTTGAAGGAGAGCACATTGGCCAAGGAATCTTAGCAAGCCAGGTGTGGCGGCACACACCTGTAATCCCAGCGGCTCGGGAGGCTGGGAGGATTGCAAGTTCTAAGCCTGCCTCAACAATTTAGTGAGGCCCTAAACAACTCAGCAAGACTCTGTCTCCAAATAAAATATTAAAAAGGGCTGGGAATGGCATTCTTTGGTCATGTACCCCTGGGTTCAATCTCTAGTATAAATTTAAAAAGGAGTCTTAGCAAGCTTGCTATCCTGCTAGATAGACATTTGCTGCCTTATTGGTTCTGATTGAGCCAATATGGTTCACTTTTTTAAATATGAAAGATAAAATTGCATATTTACCATGTACAACATAGTGTTTTAAGCACAGTGGGATTCAAGCAAGCATAGATTGAAAATCTTCAAAAACTTTCCATCTGTACTGAACATGTATACACTTTTAAAATTGTCCTTCCCTAAAAATATAGTACAACAACTATACTACATGGCGCCTATATTGTGTTAATTGTTTAAAAAAATATTAAGATGATTTAAGGTATACAGGAGGATGTGCTTGGGTTATATGCAAATACTATAACATTTTATATAAGGAACTTGAACATCAGTGGATTTTGGTATCCTCAAGGGGTCCTGAAACCAATCTCCCACAGATTCCAAGCAATGACTGACTGTATGTATACATTGTGAATGTATACATGACTAAATCTAGTTAATTAACATGCATTGCTTGTCTAGTTATCATTTTTATGGTGACAAGTGGTATGACTAAGGTAAAATCTGGATCTGTTTTTAAGCCAATGAGCAAGTGTGCAGTTGCCTCCACTGTGGCCCCTGCCTTTTAGTTGCTGTTCTTATTTTAGTGGGGCAATAAATTCACTTAGGTGAGATGGACTCCACAGTGTACATTTTTAGAAGCTCTGTGTTACATAAGCTAATAAGGGAAGCACTTTCACCGGGAGAGTGAAGTTGTCAGTGATGAGTGGACTTAGCTCAGCTTGCTTGTTGGGGCATGTATGCTTTTTAGAGCCCCATGGGCCTTTCTCTAACCCTACACAAACAGCTACCACCTCCTTGATAAGTCTTTTAACCTTGTCCCCATGAAGCAGAAAACCCAATTTTAGGGAAACAATAGTCATACCTGTCAGATAAAGTAAAACCTACCTCTGAAAAGTATTGTATAATATGACACTTAGCTTTGAAAAAATTCACAGTATAACATCCTTTTTCATCCCCTTTGGCCTATAAAACCAGCCAACCAGCTTTGTGTTAGTTGTTATGCCAGCCTTCATTGCTGTACCCTGAGCATTGGTGAGGTGGTGACAATTCGATTAGAGATGGGGCTGTCATTTGCTGAGTTGATGGTGTAAATATGATTAGAATCATTAACATGAAGGCACTATGTGAATGACAGAGTCTAAAACATTCTGCCACTGGTTTCAGCAGATGTCATCTTGTCTTGCCAGTGGCTGGGGCTATAATCACTCACCCAGAAAAGAGGACAGTCTGTGATGATTAGGGTCAACAGAAGCAAATGGCATTTCTTTAATAGCAGATCTTTTGACTCAGTAGGTATCACCAAGTATAATGACGAGGCTGGATATTTTTTGCAGGGATGTGGATTCTGTTGGTTACCACAAAGCCCTCTGGAATTCCTCGTGGTCTTTCTTCCTGAGAGCACTCAGCTGATTCTCTCTCTAGGGTGACATACGCTTGGGGCTTTAGCTCAAGATATTCTGGGAGAGTACCCGTTGATCTCTTGGTGCATATTTTAGAGCAATTATGTAAGCTATTTATGAGAGAACCTAGATTCAATGGCTGTCTGTTTATTTTGAACTTTGAAAGTAAAATTAAACATCATATTGGATAAATTTAATATTCTGAGTTCTAATGAAGTGACGTGTGTTCTGTCATTGTTACTGAAGGATAACGGGGAACTTGGACTCTCAAGAAAAGCAAAAACAACTTCTCACTGTTGTTAGAAAAAGAAAATATGAAATATATATTCCTATAGGTAGTGTTTTAAGAAAGTCTCAGGCCATGACTCTTGTAAGGAAAACAGGTCAGATCATCAGAAGTGGAATTACTGTGCTAGCATGCATTGATTGGGAGGGCTTTTCAGAGTTTGTGCCATGTTACAAATGGGCATTGCTAAGGTTCCCCTAGGTGTTTCCCTAGTGAATATCCCACAGTGGAGGGTCTGCCTCTCAGCTATAAGGACTGTACCTACAACTGTGATGCAGGCTATAAGCCTTCAAACAATAACAAGACCCGAGATGTCCATCATCTGGAGCATGTGGGTCTGCCTTCCCTGAGCATTCACCCTCTATGGGCCTGATTCCTTAAGAATCAGGTTTTGGGGCTGGGGCTCAGCAGTAGAGCACTCGCCTAGCATGTGCGAGGCCCTGGGTTTGATCCTCAGCGCCACATAAAAATAAAATAAATAAAGATATTGTGTCCATCTACAACTAAAACAATTTAAATAAAAGGAATCCGGTTTCATCAGAAACTACACTTTGTCCTGCAGGGCAAGAAATCAAAATGAGGGGCT